TCTTGAATATTTTTTTATATTCAAGGATACTGTGTGCATTTTGTAGTCTCCTGCACATTCAAATTTCCTATAAATGCATAAAAATCCGCAGTCTAGTTATTAATAATTAAAAAAGAGCGAAACTTCAGCTGAAAAGTTCGGTGAAGTTTGCTTTATAAAAACGATTAACTAATTAATGCTTCAAACTATGCTTTATTTAAATTTAAAATATTTGAGAAGATTTGTATTATTTTAGTTCCTTTTTCATTTATTATAATTTTGTTTCTTGATTTTGACTCTATACGATTGAAAGATCATCTATCCGAGGTTTGACTCGATTATTAAAATCAGTTTATTAACCAATGCCCTCCATTGTTTAAGACTGCCTTAGAACGGGGTTGCAAACAATGAAAACTGGACGCTTTCCACGAAATCGTGTGCAATCGAAGCAAAGGCAAAACCGAATAGGGACGCCTTTGTAGTTGCCACAAAATACGTGAAAAATTCACGGCTTTTATATTATGGACGGTACTTTGCACTGTTCAGAGCTAACGAGAGACGAGTTCCCTCTCAAAGGAACCCTCCCGGCGTTTCTACAGAAAAATATTCAGTTTGAAGCGACATGAAATCCTAGTAACCAAAAAAAATTGAACGGAAAGCTTCGTCCGGAGGATAATTTCATAGTGAATCAAAGTGAGCACTCTACTTTCGCTGTATGTTGAATGATGGTTGGATTTGGTGTATTTCAAATATCACTGGTGTCTTCTTCGATTCGCAATTTTTATATATTGTGTAAAATAAAAATTATGCAATAATCAAATTGAACATTTCACGTGAATTCTCATAAAATTAAAATCACTAATACTGGTTTCTTCTTCGATTAGTAATAAGTATTAACGTAAATTGGCTTTTCCTACCAAGAAGTATAAGTGAAGATTTAAATTTTCGAAAATAACCCCGATTTGATCTTATTTCGTATTAATTGAAAATTTACACTAAAGTAATTAAATTACTTACAATTAAATACTGTACGATCCATACGCGGGAGATAACTCGTTTATCAAATAAATAAATAGATAAAAACAACGACGCGAAATGCACAGCGTTAGAATGTCTCATAGATTATAACGATGCCTCGTTAGAAGTTTACGTTTTAAAACTGCTACCAAACTGACTTCGAGGGAAATGTTTGTTCGGAGAAAAACGAACACGGTGATCCGGTTAAACTGAAACTTCTATCATCGCGCGCTGCATGAAAACAGTGATAAAAGTTGCTTTTAAAACGATCATGGGGGTAGCATCTAAGCGTGTCAGAGATAGTTAAATTTAGTTAGTTGAGCATAGTTAAACGTACACATGCTTCCGCGAGAGGAAGTTTAATTGTTCGTTGAACGAATCTATTCTAATTTACCTCAAGTATAAAGAAATGTGTTTCTGGTATATATTAACCATTTCTTGAAATCAGGTGAAAGTAGGTTAATTTTTAAATCGAGTTTAATTAAATAGATTCACTTATTCCCCCCGAGCAGGAAAAAAAACTTGATTTTAATTTTATGAAAGTTCGCATGAAATGTTCAATTTGATTATTACTCAATTTTTATTGTGCATGATATATAAATATTAGGAATCGAAGAAGACACCAGTGCTAGTGACTTTAATTTTATGAGAATTTATATAGAATGTTCAGTTTGATTATTGCATCATAGTCAGAGAAGAAAATATTCAAAGAAAATATTGCAAAGAAAATATTCTATAGCAAAATGTATATGCCACTGCGTGGAAGAAAGTAAAAATATTCAATAAAACATCGATAAAAGAAGTGCCTAGAAAATGACACGATTTTAAAATAAAAATAATCAAATAATCGATCAACAATAATACACTACCAAAACAAAATGTCACCGAGCAAAGCCACGTTTACAGTAGCGTCCAAACTGCATTGATCGAATCAATTAAGAACAATGCAGTTCGAATCCCGAATAATGCGTGGGCGTATTGTCGTTCCAAATGCTCAGTTGATTAAATGATTTTGTCTCCGGCAGCGAAATGGCAGAATTATTTCGTTCCGTCAACACGAATTTCTCCGTGGCAAACGTCGCCCCACAATTGCGGCCCCGATGTATGAATCAGTCCAATAAACGCGATGATAATCGATGGAAACTCGACAAACCGTAATAAAATAAATGAAAATCGCCCAGGAGCCATACGCTCGCGCAATAAACGCGATCGCGTGCGTTTAACAACTTTTTTCGGGAGCGACAAAAGCATTATACAGTTATTCGTCCCGATAAATTCACCTGCTCTGTCGTATTTCTTTCTTTTTTATGTTTCCTGGTCGACGGTATCTCGCGTGCAACGTGTTCTAATTTTCTGTTGCGTTAAACAAAAAAGAAAACACGGTGAATTATATGTAAAATCACGAGTTGTTGAGTGCGCGTGGAATATTCATCGAATTAAAAGATAGATGAACTGTTACTACAGGATATGTTTACTCGAGGAAGTTCGTGGGTTGCAAGATTCAAAAGTAAATAATTTGATTAATCTGGTAAGAAGAAAAGAGGAATATGTTAGGAACGTGAAAACAAGAAACAATTATAGGAAAATAGGAAAAGTTGTGAACATTGGAAATTTAAAAATTGACTTGTTAGTTCGTTAAAAATAGAAATGGAATATGGGAATATTGAGAAATAAATTAAGAAAAATAAAACGATGGAGGAATTTATGGTTACTTTACTACGATAAAGAATTAAATAATGATTTCATTATGTAGGATGGTTTCATGCAATAAAATTTAAAAGCATTAGTCTGTAACGAACAATGCACTGAAATTCATTAGAAAATTCGTTCGGACGATTCCAGTACATTACACTTCCGGAAAATCTAATTTGATATAAACACGGCCAGGCGATATCGATCTGCCTGTTGCGAGGCGTTAATTATCGCGTTCCCAATTAGAGATTACCGTTTACCTTGGAACACGTAATTAGAAACTTCTGGTTGACATTAATTATTAGTGTTGGTTCAAAGTGGCAATGTTATGGCACGCCGGGATATCTAGAAAGATCATTGACCCTTTCGCTTTCCATTTGAACCACCCCGACAAATTGGAGTGGCCTGAGCTTATGCTAGGCGAGAAAGTAACGAGGCAAATACGCGAGTTGAAATTTATTTTGTGAGAAAATCGTTTCGCTGAACTACGAAAGTACTTGCGAGCACTTTCAGAACGGCCGAAACTATGTAGATTTCTGCCATGGAAAATTTAACAAAGTCCTCCCCTATTTCGATTCGTGCGAATAAAGCTTCGAAAAATTAGATGTTGTAGAATATTTCTAAAATAACGAAATCACTTCTCTGTAACGGTAAGAAATCTGCAGAATTGTCTACAGTGGACCCGAGAACGAGAGAATCACTAATTAAACAGTGGATTCCTTGAAAGGGATCTGGTCTGACAACGACTCAGATAATTATTCGCGCAACACAATGCACTCGGTAATTGTTTTAGACAATAGTGTCGCTTAGACCAAAGGATTCCTCCATGGTAGCCAAAATCCCTTAAAGGGATAATTGGAACCCGCCAACCTCTAGTTGGAGCCTTGATCCAGGTACACTCAGTCCGCCGCCACAAAGCTGAATTTATTGTGCAAGATCGGCACGAGGCGTGTTTATGCCATAAATTCTCGCCTGACGTCACAGCTCTAAACTTTGCAACGGAATGTAGGCCCGGTATTACGACAAAAAGCTTTTTCAAATTCTACGCATTATGCAGTGACGAAATTTCGCATGAAAGTGTGGAGTGAACTTACTTTTGTTGGCGTTAAATTTATTTTTGTTCCGTTTACTCTAAAACAGACTTAAGAAGACGAAAAGTTCTTTGTAGTAAATTGTTATTTATTGCTATTTATTTGCTGTGTTCTGTACTTTTTGTGCTCTAGGAATATTTCTTAATATTTTCAATTCTATAAATAGGGTTCAAGGATATGGTTTATCTAAAACTATACAATCTTGTGAGTTATTAAATATTAAAATAATGTTAGAGATTATCTAAAAGTGAATAGCCACATTTGTTAAAAAATGTGTACTCAATTAGCAACATATCTCCCAATTTAAAGAAAACATGCATGTTCAACTGCTTCAGGTTATGGCACATCATGTTTGATCAATTTTAGTTAATTCCAAGTTAAATTTTTATTTATTGCTATTTATTTGCTGTGCCCTATACTTTTTGTGTTCAAGTAATATTGCTTAGTATTTTCAATTCTATAAATAGGGTTCAAGAAGATGGTTCATCTAAAACTATACAATCTTGTGAGTTATTAAATATTAAAATAATGTTAGAGATTATCTAAAAGTGAATAGCCACATGCGTTAAAAAATGTGTACTCAATTTAAAGAAGACGTGCATGTTCAACTGCTTAAGGTTATCACAGATCGTGTTTGAACAATTTCTAATGGTTCTACTGAATTCCAACTCAGTTATAAAATTACTAATTACCATATTAAACCATTTAGTCACTTTCGTCAAATTGCCTTATTTTAGAAGAGGGCCATGGGGTTGGTGACGTTAAACAGTATTTGAATAATTAACAACCAATAACCACTCTGAAGACCTGAAATGCACATCAAACATTATATCTTATTTACAAAAGACAAATATATCCCAAGCAATATAAACAAGAATTAACAAAACACAACAACCTTCTAAAATAAAATTTGATGCTAGATAGAATTTATAATTATTGTTAGATTTAAGAATTAGTTATTTTAACCATAAGTCATTCCATATTTATTTTACATGTAAATCACTGATGGCCTACAGTAAATACATAAACATATATTACACATTATAAATGAAAAAGAACTCTAAACAATGAAACACGAGGTTTGTTCTTTTCCAGCCTCCCAAGTCACATTTTCCCCGGAAATATTTTAGACGATACTTTTGTCTTGGAATTCATTTTAAAGTATGGTAAGAAGGGTGATTCAAACAGTCAGAAAATATAGCCACGCGAATACTGAAATACCTGTCTCTGTCTGTGTTTACCAGATAGCCAGCGGGAATTCGAAGTTCCGTAGGGAATCCATTGTATATGCAGGGAGGTCCTTTTGGGTTAACTTGCGACCGGATCTCGTTTACGCGGACGCGCCGCAATACACTCTGATTCCGCAATATCCGGCTTGCAAGAAGGAACACGGGGTTTGGTGGAAGGTGTTCTGGGAATAGGGACGCCCGTCGTCTACAGACGCGGCAGCGCAAACTGCAAAAAGAAAAGCTGTTGCAGATCCCTGGAGCGAAGTTCGAACGACGATCTATCACTGCCTTGGGCATTCCGACGAGCGGCATATGCGTACCTGCGCCAACGGCGATCCTCTGCGTCGGAGGTCGTCGAACTCGTTCTTATAACACTCGAATAATATCAATTGACCCGCACAAATCGGTTAACTTGACCAGTCGCATAAAAATTGTAAAGCTGTAAAACATACAGATGTGTATAGTATGTTAGTGCAAATGTGTGTTCCTTTTTAGGATCAATGCTTGGTGTAACTAGAAATTGAAAAGTTCTTCGCCATTTTGTAATTGACTGGAATGCAAATGGCGCGTTGTAAAGCTTTCACTTGGAATCTTTGAGTGCTTATATCTCGGTAACGAAACATCTGATTGAAAATTGGTGAAGGACTTTTTAATTCCATAAAAGGGAGTGATTCTGAAAAATGGTCTTGCGTTTTCAAAAACACTCTGGATGGATCTTTCGGGAAATTGGGGAAGAAAGTTTCTTCGCACTGATTTGGAATTTCAAGTATTTCTCGTTCCGAAATGCCTTTCCACTACTTAGAAAATAAACTGAACATGTAATATTCGACTTCGATTATCGAAAAACAGTTGTTTTTCGTTCTCGAAATCATTACCTTTCTGACACGTCGCTGGTGAAACGCCACGATGCACAGCGTGCGTTCTTAGAGCATTACCGATCCTGCGGATCCCCAGTCCACTAAGACCGCATCCTCGACGGAAGGATATTTCTCAGACGCAACAACTTCCGCTTCGGTCGTCGCGAAAATCTCTAGAAAATCTCTGCGTCGCTCCTGACCTCGTTCGTCCTGATGAACATTCAGTCCCAGCTGTGTCCACATTATAGCACGCCCAGCGCACACAACGAACCACTACGGCAATTGAGATTCCCTTGTCTTCCGAGATTATTGATTCGTCAGCCGATTTTTCGATAACTTATCCAAGGACGAGGACTCTCGATTAGTTGCTGAAACCAATTCAAAGGAAAAATGTTAGACGGAAGCAAATTTCAATCTTTGATAACTTCTGAACACGTTAAATTTGAACTTCAGGCTACGTTTACTATAATTGGTACACGCAATCGTATTTATTTAACGCAAGCATAATAATTTAATAACATACATTTTATGACAAATTTAATTCTGTAAAATATATTTCCACCAAAGAGTGAGGCATTATCAAAAAAGCAGTATAGGACAAAACAAAACAAGTTAATTACTTATGGAATTGACAATGAAATTAAATATTGTATGATAATATATCAATCTTTAGTCGTAACATGAATGGGCTATTTTTAATGGTTTCAGAAAATCATGAAATTTACTCCAACATTCTTTTCCATATTGTCGTTCCGGATAAAATCATTTAGTAGAGATACGTGTTAATATACATACATATCCATCCTGAAATTCTCTTACAAAGTTTATCATCTTTTTTTATTTGTATTTTTTATAACACCGACTTTAACAAGACACCGTCACGTAGTATACGTTTCACAAGATCAAAGTGATTTTACTCGTGCTCACTAGCTAGAGACACCTTGTGTTTATTAATTAAAAATAAATAAAAATTGAGTAAGTAAAAGGAACCAATTAGAGGTCCAAATGTGGGTCGAATGCCCTTATTAGAAGGGAGTGGAAAATATTCGACGATTGCCATAATACTTGAACCGCTTGGAAGCTGATTTGACTCCGACTAAAATTATGGATAGAACTTCTCGCTTCCTAAAGGAATTATCATTACCCCATTATCTTGGCTTGTGAACGTCGCAAAATGAAATGGAATCACAGTTGAAAATAATAAGGAGTTAACGTGGTTGAGTACACTATACAGTAAAAATTATACTGCAATATGGAAAAGAATTTTGGAATATATAAAGTGTAGACAAGATCTTCTTTAAATTCGTTATAATTACGATTTAATTCGTTGGCTCAGATAACAATTTTTAAACTGCAATGCAACTGATACAATAGTGTTTAACTGTGCTCCAAAAGCAAAAGAAAAACTGAACCTATACAGAGCTATCGATTCATATAAATAATAATGTATAATATACAATATAGAATAATATAGAATAAAATAAAAACATTTGTTTTCGAAGATTGCAGATTCCAGGAAACAAATTTCCCCGGAACTGTTAGTGAATTGTAAATTTCTGACATTATTTCCAGTTGTTAAACTTGAACTAGTACTCCAGTCATTGTTTACTACATGGGTGTTCATATCAAAAGCTGGTAATGTTTCTGCCTCGCGCCAGAAATTTATCAAATTGCCTGAAATTAATCTCTGGAGGCCCCCCAGGTAATGGAGGCCTCTGGGTTCTTAGTCTCTAAAGTCTCAAAAGCCTGTGCATTAACGCAACGCTGACTATACTGCAGCATCGCAACGTATTTTCCTCGTACGAGGAGCTGGCGCGATGGTAAGGCGGGGATACGCCGTCATGACTTACAATAATGAAATATGATGATTAGTAGCGTTAAGTAGACAACGAGTTCCGCTTAACTTTTCGATGCTAGAGCGAAAGGTCTACTTGGAAGTCTCGATTTATCGTGGGAGGGCGCGATAGTAACACGGAAATATAGTTAGAAAGGTAGCCATTATTTTTGTATACTATATAATGTATAGTATACACTGTATAATATGTGATTTGTACGTATAAATTGTATAATATATAGTAATATATATTTTCTATATTACATAGTGTAATTAGTTTCATGTTTTTGTGTATATAGTTGAAAATATAGTAGGAAAGGTGGTAATTATTTTTGTATGTCATATACTGTATAATATACAATGTGATTTGTATGGATTTATATAGTCAGTATTATACAATAAATTGTATAACATATAATAATATATATTTTGTGTATTATATAATGTAATTATTTTGATGTTTTTAAATATATAGTTGGAAATATGGTTGAAAAGGTGGCAATTATTTGTGTATATCATGTACTGTGTAATATATAATGTGATTTGTATGGATTTATATAGTCACTATTATACAATAAATTGTATATTGCTATGTAGTATGCAATAAATTGTATAATGCTATGTATTATACAATAAATTGTATATTGCTATGTATTATACAATAAATTGTATATTGCTATGTCTTATACAATAAATTGTATATTGCTATGTATTATACAATAAATTGTATATTGTTATGTATTATACAATAAATTGTATATTGCTATGTATTATATAATAAATTGTATAATACATAGCAATATGTATCTTGTATATTATACAGTATAATTATTGTTATGTTTCTAAACAATAATCATAAAATATTTACTTTCACCAACAACAGTAGAATTCTAATCAAGTATAAAAATCCACTTACAAATAATTGAATGAAAACAGTAATCCAAAATCAAACTCTAGATATCAAGAGACCTTCTTAAGATATATTTTACTAGTAGCCCTATTAATTCGAATCAAAACCACCCAGAAATTCTCTTCCAATCGCAACACTCCTCTCTCCTGTAAAAAGTAAGAAAGTGTGCCAAACAAGTTGAGACGTGCGCAGTCAGAGGGATACTTTACAAGGTTGCTTATCGCGAGTTCTCACGTGCAATGCAACTTATTATATCCGCGCCAGCGGCGTTTCCCCCTCGCCTAATCGAAGGACAAGAAGAGTTCGGAATGGCGTAGGAAAGCTGCTCGTTCAATTAAGTCTAACGAAGCGAGAGATGAAACTGAAACGTGTCGCTGCCGACAAATAATTCGAGAAACGATCCTTCCGATCCTTCCACGCCCGGTCGAAGTTCGAAGTTTTCAACTTTCCCTGGACGCTTCGGCGACGAGCCTCGTCGAACTCGCGCGAACACTCTGAAATCCGCTTTTGCTAGGAAATGATTAATACGATTTTTGTTCTGCTCGCGAACCATGGTCGGAGATACGATTCTCTTGATCGCCGCGAAACTTGGCTGAAAAGTGCGATTTATCGCCTTGCTACACGTTCCATCGTGACGTCTGAAGCGGTATGATGTAGGTGTCACTCATTTTTCTTTCGTTCGGTGCGTTTTTCTTGCTCAACCTGACAAATGAAGTTTTCAAGATACATCTTTCTTAATGTCGGTGGAACGTGACGAATAGAAGAGACCAGGGATCATTTTTCAGGTGCGGTTTGTTCCATTGTATTACATTTTGAAGCCAACGTTGTAAATAGAACTATAATCCAGTCTAGCTACGTGAACTTGGCACCCGACTTTTCAAAAATTAATTTTTTTTTTATAGAAAACGATGGTATTTTGTTTGTACCTGATTGTACCTCCAATAGTTTCGTTTGTACCTCGATCAAATAATAATTAAAAAAAATTCAAAAAATGGTCAGCACCCTACATCGAGATTTTTAAAATCTGTTTTTCCCGATTCTTTAGAATCGTTTGTACCCGCCGGAAACGTCTTTCTTTTCGTTTGTACCTCGATAGTTGAAAATTAACGAACTTCACTCTTACGCGGATCAACAATTGCTATAAAATTTAAACTACTGAGGTACAAACGAAATGAAAAGCGGTACAAACGGGTACAAACGATTTTAAAAAATCGGGAAAAACCGATTTCAAAAATCTCGATGTCGGGTGCTGACCATTTTTTGAATTTTTTTTAATTATTAATTGGTCGAGGTACAAACGAAACTATTGGAGGTACAATCAGGCACAAACAAAATACCATCGTTTTCTATAAAAAAAATTAATTTTTGAAAAGTCGGGTGCCAAGTTCACATAGCTATCCAATCTCATTATTTACGAGAAGTATAATTAAATTTTGAAGCCAACATTGAAGCCATTGTATTAAATATTAAAGCCAACATTGAAGCCATTGTATTAAATTTTGTAGCCAGCATTGTAAATAGAATTATAATCCAGTCTTATAATTTACGAGAAGTATAATTAAATTTTGAAGAAAATATTGAAGCCATTGTATTAAATATCGAAGCCAACATTGAAGTCATTGTATTTAATATTGAAGCCAACATTGAAGTCATTGTATTAAATTTTGAAGCCAACATTGTAAACAAAATTATAATCCAGTCTCATAATTTACGA